AAAACTGCGACACGTGTAATTAACTTAGTTTACGCTTGAGGAAAATATTGTATAGCGAAACGCGTGTCGCGGTTTTTGTAAAACCCTTCCTAATGAAAATCATACAATAAACTGTATTGATGAGTTTTGATACGGATTTTCATCAAGTATCGGCCAGTTCTATTCAATTATAATATGATTAAAATTAGAATTATTTTAATGTAGACCACATAGTAGTAGGTTCAACGTTGTAAAGAAAGCTAGTTTGATGAATTGAACAATTTTCTGATTGAAAACATTCAGTTTTAATAACCCTGTATATTCCTCGTATAATATCGAATATTCTGTCCATTTTCCAATTATGTTCGTGGTTAATTTATGATATTTTACGATATCGTTATACTTTTCCAAGATATTCAACCCTAATCCATTGAAGAAATATACTGAAAATGAAAATATCGCTTGTTTCTCCATGATCATTGTACACAAAATTTTGAGTTGACCGATTTTGAATATGTACGTTTATGCATGTATGTTGTAAATAATGATATGTTTGAATTAATGACAACGCCAAGAAATTTACACCGCTGTATAATGTTTTCAAATCAGAAATGCTCTGCATGCTTGATATTTTAATCTGATAAATTGCTTCCAATTGCTGTATTTTTGTTTGATATTATTTTAGAGTTATTTGTATACTAAGTGTGATGCATGAATAGAAAACAAGTTAGAAAAAACTTCAAAATCACAAAAAATATTGATTAAAATTGTAAACAGTATTTGGGAAAACTTTCGTTCTGAAATTATACTTTTGTCGTGAATTTAATTGACTTGGTACTAGCATTTGCATTCAATTTTTAATTTCACAATATTTTCACAATAATCGATTATAAAAAAAAAACAAGTTTAATCATATATAAAGTAGGTTTCTGATTATAATATTGAATAGAAGTGAGTTTAATTTGAAGCAGTTGAAAAAGTTCACCATACAAATGGTTTCAGAGCTTCTCTTACTTTTTCTTAAGTAAGTGTTCTAAAAATAATTATGTTAATGCGATCATTACAAGAATCAAAATGTTAAGCTGTACGAAACAGTGATTTAATAAAATCCAATCTGTTAAAAAATGGTTGGATGAAGCAATTGAAAACCGACGCCACCAATCGAATGAGCTTTGTCTTCATCCTTCAAAAGTTCTTGCAATACATTCATTGAAAAATAAAGCCAATTCAGTTGATTATTCTAAACTACTAAATATTTCCCAACCATTTGAATGTTTTCAAACTGTTGGAATTATAGTTAATACTTTTATGTCAGAACATTTTTCAAAAGTTTTTCATCCTATCATACCAGATATGAAATTTAAAAAATCGACCTCGCAACTTCTTTAACTTAATTTTTAATATACTTGTGATGCTCTGTTTGGAACCTTTGGTGCAGTAAAGAATATTACTGGAGTTTAATTCCAACACCAAACCGTCATTTTTAACACCTCGACACGTGTTCCAATCACCCAGTGATCATCTTCAAGAGGAAGATTAAACTGGTAATTTTAATTTTGAATATAGCATTCTCATCAGGCAACTATATAGATCAAACCAGAGCCCAAAACCAGATGTTTCCATCTGCCATAGATATCATCAGTGGTACTAGACCGGTCAAGAGTAGGAGTGCAATGTTTAAACTGATCTGCACTTGCGCATACTCTTGAGCATGCCGATTTCCTTCACAAAAACTCCATCCACTGGGACGGACAAACATCAAAGATAAATGAGGGGCTCACAGGTAATCTGTTGCAAAATCAGGATTTGGTACCGTTTGCCAAACAGGAAATCGCTTTCTGTCCCTCTCTGAGCCCAGTGTTTTCCAGTTACCTGTTGGCATTGAAAGCTAGAGAGAGAGAGAAAGAAAATTATTTCTGGTTTGGCGGTCTCGAATGAGCAGAGTTCAGTTTTTTGGCAGTTGGCGATGGCGTCTTCGTACGGGAGGCGTCATTCCCATCTCTTACTTTCGAAGGAATAAAATATTGAATATTTTTTTTACAGAAATAGTACTTAAGCTTCTTGACTGTAACTAAATGATGGATACTCAGTAGGACCTTTATCAAATATTTCTGAATAAAATATTAATATCTAGTAAATTATAGTGTGGTCGATAATTGCTTCAATAATGCAAATATTTATTTGCCTATCTTGTAGTTACTTTTGATTTATTTATACTACTTATTAGAACTTTTGCATTACCGTTATTATCTGAATCATAGAGACCTACTTTGTAAAAAGTATATATTAATTATAAATAAGGATTGTTCATTATAGAATGATTATTTGATTCGTGGGATTCGTTTTCGTTGAAATAAAAAATATTTCAGTAATAATATTGTATATTTTGATTTTTACTCCTTAGTCAAACGTCTCAACAGCATAGGTTCTACCATGATTGAAACAAAAAGACTATTTTCTGAAATTATACAAATGAGTAATGTTGTTTTTCGTTAAATTATTTTTTTTATTTCTAGGATACGATATGTCTCCCTTCATAAGACGATATGCTAGGTATTTGAATGAAAAAGCCCTATCATACAGGACAGTTGCGTTCGATTTCTGTAAAGTTAAAAGGGGGTAAGTTTGCTTCAGTCTGTTTTAATAATTTGTTTTACTTGAATATCGGGTTTTCTTCTCTGTAATGAATATATTTAAATATTCGTGTAAATCATTAACTTCATTTATTATTTTGACATTCTCAAACTATCAACAATTAATTTACCAAGAAGTACGGCATGTTTTTTGGATTTAAACTTGCATGACTTATTTTTTCATTGAGAAATTTTCTCACAACTCTAATGATTTTGAATTAATACAATTCAATACCCACAAAAAAGCTCATATCAGTCATAAGATGATATTCCTCAAGTCAAGTTGAAAACCCACCAAACGAATATTGTTCTATCTTATGATTCTGCCATAATCATTGATTTTTCTCCTGAAGGGTAGGAATGCCTTATTGAACAATTGTCGAAGGTTTGCAATAAGTAATTTCTTTATTGCTTTAATTGAAGAGAAAGATAATTTATTCTGTTGAAGCCTCTTTGTTTTTTATGAATAAATGGCATGTTTGATTATTAAATAAGTTTTGAACATTAATTCATTATTATTTTCTCAATCTCAGAAACTGAATTTGTGGAAATCGTTAACTTTATGATGGCCAGATCGTCTTTGTGTTGGAAAATGATGAAACAGTAGATGATAGCACATACTTTGTGCCTGCCCCGCTGGGGACCGAATCAGCCGTACTCTTACCATCTGACCTGAAAGACCACTCAACATACAAACTAATCAGCTTCGTTAAAAAGCTAGGTTTAATTGGTCGAGTGTGAATAGATGTGAGCCACAATAAACCCTTGCGGGTTGCGGTCACTTTGGACCTAACCTAACCTAGTGTAATCCTTTTCCTGTTAAAAATATTTTTATTAAGAGGGTCATTTTAGAAAATAGTGCATTACAAGTCCAAAGAGTCTGTTTCAGGAGGGCTTTCTTCCAGTTTGTGTCTGAAAGTCACTTCTTTCTATGATCTACACGTCCATGTATAGAGTTACTTATTTTCAAATTGATTACTTCCTTTCTTTGGAAGATTCCCACTTTTTTTGTATCAAGAAGGAGTAGTAGAAAGCCAAAAACTTTATTTCCCAAAAATTTTTCACTTCTTGAAATATAACCCCCTCAATACAAATTAAATTTAACTTGTTGATTTCTAATTAGTGAATAACTTTCCATTAGATTGAATGTAGTTTCACGAAATTCAATTGCTTCCAAACATTTTTGCCAAACTAGATATCAATGTGATAGGTTATTTCATTCTTATCACCACTTTTATTAATTTCAATTTGGAAAGCCTCAGGGCATATTCCAGTATCGAAAATTATATTTATTAAATGCACTAAAGGTTCTGATATAAGATCTTTGGAAGAAGTTTCAAAATATCAATTACATTTTCAACTTCAGATGATGTCTTTATACCCACTGTTACGCCATTAGTTGTTTTGATGCATTTAATGTTATTATTACTTTCATTTTCATTACATATTTTTTAAATACAACTCCATAACTCTTTGGATGTTTCACTCTGATGAAAGTTAATTTTAAGTTTTTTCAAAATGGTTGTTAATTTATTCATATATTCTTTATACTCGATTTCAAATAGTTTATTATTTCTGTTTTTCACAACTTAGTATATAATTCATGCTTTATATTTACATCATGCTTTCACTACTCAGTTTGTTATGTAAGTTTTTGTACTAACTCGCCGTATTATTTCATCTTCGTTTTTGCTATTTTTCTTCTTCATTCCTGTTTTTTTTTAATTTTTTGATTTCTCAAATTATTTCTGCAACTGGTTTTGCTTGTCTCCCGTCATAAATCCCCGAAACCCCTCAGTATTTCTTCTTCAGTATCCCTTATTCTATTGTTATTCTTATAGATTCTTCATCAATGAGTGAAATGCTTGTTAGTTGCCACTTTGTTCAGCAATGCAGAATAACAAAATAGAATATGTCTTACTAGTCTCATACAATGATTACTTAGAAACACATTTGATTTACTAGACCTGACACTAATACCTACTATATAACCATATGTACCTATTGGAGCTGTGAACTGTTTTTTTAACTCACTGTTCTATTTCAAATGTATGTTTCATATAGGTACATGTATTTTATCTTTTGCCACAATTCAAATATTCACTGCCAGAAAGGTAGACATTGCTGGGTTTGATAACAGGGCCATACTTTTCTTCTTGTTATGGTAGTGAGATTTATTCAATCTTTCGTTACCATTAAATATCAACCCAACTATACTTGACGTCTCTTTTTCGACTATGGTCGCCATTAGAATAAAATATTCTGGCTCAAACATCTGTTGAATATCAAATATATTTTTACAGTGTCATTGTGAATGAAATCTTATCATATTCTGAAAAGTCAAGCTAATTTTTTATTTGCAATATGTCAGCATAATAACTGTTTTAGGAAAGATGATGGCGTACTGAGAACGATGAACGCAGATAAATTATTGAAAACCATTCCTGTTTTGCAAAATCAACTAGATGCACTCCTAGAATTCAATTGTTCTGTCGACGACCTAACAAACGGCGTTATCAACATGTCATTTATGTTGTTATTCAGAGATTTAATAAGACTTTTTGCCTGCTATAATGATGGCATTATTAATTTATTAGGTGAGTATTACCACTTTCTTTTTTCTTTTTCAGTCACTTTCACCGTAAAAACCCTTATGACTAAGTATTGTTTCTAAATATTCAAATTTCGAATTGAAATCTTATATTTCATGATTGAAAAAAAATCAGTTTGTGTTTTTTTCTAATTAACCCTGTGACATATCTGATTCAGCTTGGAAGAACTATTTTGTGGTGATATTTTTAAGCCTTTAACAAATTATCCTGCTTTGTATCCTGCTATTGTGGAAAAATATAAATAAACATTATTGAGAACGAATTATATATTTGTTTATTTGATATCACACTGATGTATCAGTGAGGTACCGAAAGTCATTTGTTATATCCTGGCAGGTTCAATGAATATTCAATTGGAACCAGAATTATGTTTTTGTTGATCTGAATAACATGAAACTATTATGCCATATTTTTTAATCCTTTGATAAAGTCGAGTGACAAATTGAAATCATACTTGCAGGAGTCAACAAATATGAAATCATATTATGGTGAAGTTTAAATAAACACAAAGCATATGGTTTGGTGTTCGGAAAAAACTCCAGTAATATTCATTACTACACCAAAGGTTTCAAACAGTGCATCACAAGTACAAAGCATACCCTGTATCAAGTTCGTTTATACAATGATCAGGTTGAGGTTGGAACAAGTTCGGTGAAAGCTTGATATGGCCATTGGAAAAAAGACATAGAGTCAAGGTTTTTTTTTCAATCGTACAGTTGTTGGTCAAAGCATATTTTTTATGGCGTCATCACTGTTCGATTTATGAATCATTATATTTTTTTAATGGCAATACCCTATCTTGATGATAGCATTGAAAATAACTAATGTCTCTATGTATCAATGTCATATTTGTTTGTATATCACATAACTGTATGTTCGAAATTTCAGTCGTAATGATTTAATTTGTGACAACAGTACTCAATAAACCTACAAACTATTGAACTAAGGCTCCGAATTTCAAACCTTTTGCCTCTTGATAATATGCAAGGCAATTTTGAAACTCTTGCAAAACATTAGTAAGAGTATCAGCGTTAATTAAAATGATTTCAGTTCTAACTCTCTCTTCGAATTCATCAATAGTATTAGGTCTGTTGATGTAAACCTTTGCCTCAAGGTATTCACACAAAAAATCTAGTGGGGTTAGATCAGGAGATCTAGCTCGCAACTCTAAAAATCCGCGTCTGCTAATCCATCTAATGGAAAGCATAGTATCGAGGTATTTGGTGATGTGGATACAGAGCTACAAATGCGGAAATTATGTGATATTGTTGTGAATCCAAATATTTTTCATCGTTCAATGAACATTATGAACACTGAATAAAAAAGGTGCCACAATTATGGGATTATACTACTTCTCCATTGTTTTTATAAATAAAGTTCTTTCTGAAGAAACTATTTAAATGACTTGATTCTTTATCATAAGCAAATTCACAATTACCCCACTAGATTTATCAAATTTGTTCCAACTTTTACATGCTCTCGGTATATGGAACATTCAGTAAGGAATTTCCAAAAATTAGTACTGATAATGTTAGAATGGATCTCATAAAAGAAATTGAGAGAATGCAACCTGTCTAGGTTGGACTATTTTCCTGAGAGATTGGGAAGCAACAGTCATGTTAAAACTGACTAATTGAAATCTTGATTTCAATTCTTGATGTTTAAAAAAAATCTTAAGAATTTTTACCCCTTTCTTATTGATTGCTTTTCGAAATTAATATTTTCTCACATTCAACTATTCTGTCAATTATATATCTCTAGATTTGAAATTTAATTTGTGAATATTTTAAGTATTATACAATTTTTGCAGAGAAATTTTTCGATATGAATAAAAAACAATGCAGGGAAGCTTTTGATGTTTATAAGAAGTTTTTGGTAAGAATGGACAAAGTAGCAGAATTCTTGAAAGTAGCAGAGGTAAACCAACTTATCATTGGCAAGTCACATTTAACTAAAATATCTTTTCTTTTTTGTCAGAATGTTGGCATTGATAAAGGGGATATTCCTGATCTCACTAAGGCACCAAGCAGTCTCCTGGATGCTCTCGAGCAACATTTAAATCAGATGGAAGGGAAAAAATCATCATCTACTTCATCTCAATCATCCAGGTATTGAAATGTTGATTTTTATTGTCGTAAAGCTTTCTCCTTTCATTATCTGTATATGGAATCTGTTATATAATGTCATTGAAAAGTATCACAACTGNTCTATCTATATATAGCTTGCAGATTTATAATATATCAATAATTCGCCTGAATTTACCAAGCCAATAATATATATTTGGTGGGCATAGTACGTTCATAATCGTTTATGCACATAACGAGGCCCATATCATATTACTTTTATATCGGATTTGACATTGGTCAGGACAACAAATCGATACCTGTGTTTGAGGTACGAACTGAAAAGAGCTAAAATTGTATTTCTCAAAGTGTAATGCCTAATTTTTTCAATAAATACTGTGTGAGATACGCAATCAAAAGCCTTACTTGAGTCGAATAAGATACAGGAGGTATTTCAAACAACTACTGTGCCAATTTAGAAGTGTTGATTTTTGAGATCAAAACTGGATTAATTTTCACTATCATCAATTTAGTAAAAAACAACCTATGGCATTTCAATCTGTTATTTATTATTGATGAAACTATTCCCACACCAGAACTAAATACTGTCTCTAGAAGTGTGTATATTACTAACAAAGTTAGCATCATCAAATATTATTAACCAACATCCTCATTTATCTAGATTTCAAATGATTTACTGTTAATCAAAATTATCAGAAGTATAGATAAACATGTTATTCATTATGCTGGAATAAAATTATACAATGAACTACCAAATACAATTGAAGAATATGGAAAATTTAAATTAAAAAAAAATTGAAAAACTGCTATAATTTTTAAATTACTGGCCAAACTTCTGAAGTCATTATAAATGTTTATATTGTTGGTCTGAAATATTTATTATCTGCTTCTTTATTGTTACTGTTTATGTTATTACTAACTTGTTGAGTTGTCTCCTAAAAAATAATTTCTTCTTCGGAGATAAATAGTTAATCAAAAATAGATTTTAAACTATAAAAAAGAAAATTTATTTTTCAATTCTTGATTGATTTTCTATTTAATGTGAGCTAATTCTTGAATTTTTTATTGTTCTTTGGTGTGCTGAAATTTTGAAAATTACGAGTTTTCAAAAGAAACAATCGGATGGATACAATCGGTACAACCAAATTAGTATTGTTTTTATGTCTCCGATAGTTTTCAAAATTTTAGTTTACCCAATCACTGTCATTTCTTCTCTTGTAGCAGTAGCAATCAAAAGAATATCAGATCTGGAGTAACAGCACTATCATCTACAAGTAATGCATTTGGTAATGTAGTAGCAAACGGTCGTTTTGATACTCCACCCAATGGAATAGATGAGAATCTAAAATCGCAAATTTTAGCAGAAGAAGAAGCGGCCATAAATCAGTTCAAGGTAATTATTTCACAGGATTTGACTAATAACTTCGCAACATTTGAAATTTATTCACCTGAATTTTTTTTTTCTAGATATTAAGTCGATAATTTATATAGATATACAGTAGGCAGTGTTAAATTATCCATAAATTTTGATTTTTTTATCTAATTTCAATATTTAACTTTCTGTCGTTTCAAAGCTATGGGGTTTTTCCGTATGTCAATATTCAATTCTCATAAATGATAATTTCACACTAAATCAGAACAGATTTATTATTGAAAAAAAATATTTGCAGAGTAAGAAACTATTCCCACTTGAAACACTTAATTACTCTCACTAATTTATTCCACTGTTATATTTTTTTAGTCGAAAGTCTCGCCATCTGCGGCCAGTAATCCATTTTTGAGCAATTCTTCTTCTTCAATGACAGTATCATCTCAATCTGGAAACGCTCTCACTCCAACAGTAGATTTATTCACTTCTGATCCTGTGCCTCCTCCTGTGAGGGTATCAGATGATCTGCTTCAGATGTCGAATCCATTTTCTGACGCTTTCTCACAGCCACTGCCTATTACCAGCAACCAACCCATGTTCATACCTCCACACCAGAATAATATATGGATGGCAAATGGCAATGGTAAGTGCTTAGGACACGTATGTACCTACCGACTGAACGGTTCTCTTTCTTTCTAAAAGCACAATGACTACCATGCAAAATCAGTTAAAAATAGATAACTTTCTATTTGACAAGTAAAGGTTTAGCACAACGAATATAAGAGTCATTAGTTGTTTATTACAGGACAACTTGAAAATTTAGGGACAATATGTTTGCTTTGAAAGTTGAAACTTAAAAATGTAAAGTACAATGTTTGAGCATATTATTGAAGTTTTATTGAAAACTTTAATATTCGTTGGATAACTTCGGATAGTTCGGAACTAGTTCTCAGGTGCATTTGAAAAATAATCATAACAAATGACAACTCCAACTGTACGGTGCAACATTCAAATTTTTTATTTCAAGTTTTTGCAAAATACGCAAAATACTACTTATATGTTTTTGATATGTTGTGAGGTATGCTATAAATAAAATCTTGAAAATTTCCATGTTACCATATAAGTGACAACATATCATCAAAATTTTGACCCAAACGACTGTGTTAATCATTTTGATTTTGACAACTTGAACGCGTTCTTCAAGAACAATCTATATATGACTCAAAATCGTTTTGATATGTTACAAAAATTTAAATCTTCACTTGACAGCCATATACTTTTTTCAGGTTTTGGGGTGACTACTCCAGTAACAAGTCCTGTGATAACAAATGGAGCATTTGTCACGGAAAATAGTTTTGCTTCTGTTTTTGGCAACACAGAATCCAATGGTAATTTTTATATTTTAAACACTATATTTCTGGGCCGTATTTATTCATCAACATCAACAGATGATTGTTCATAACATCCCTAATTCATGCTTGTCTATCTGGACTTTGGGCATGTTAGTGTTGCACAAAAATATTTGTGTGCACCAAACATCTTCTGCCTGCTTTGATCACTATATGCAATTTTCTATTAACAAAATATAATAATGCTACTGTGGATGACAAAAAAAATTAAGACTCTGGAAGACAATACATTATAGTACAATGTTGGTACTTTAAATACAGATGTCAAAAAGTTGTTACTTATAGTCTCATAATGGTTTATTACTCGATTTTCACCTTTCCTCATTAAGAATTGTATTCATTGATTTTTATTTCAATAATTGTTTTACAAAATGAGCAGTATTTATAGTGATTCGTTTTCTGACCACCTTTGAAGTTTTATCATATTTATTTATTCATTGAAATAATACCCTTCTCATTATTATTTTCTAAGCGGCAAATAAACTCATTAGTAAACAGATAATGAAATAGCATTTTCATTACTTGGCGAAAATAATGAAAGAACAGTTAAATGTTGGTGTCATCCCTCGAATAGGAATGGGATAGAGTGTTGTTTTCTAGAAAATGCAAAAATTGAATTGATATTTTTTTTTTGAAAACTTATTTCATCAATCGAGTGAATGCTGGAAATGTTGTCCGACAACCTCTATACCATACAGGTCATCTTCATAGCATGCTCTACCACTGCTGACGTCTCTGTATGTCCTAGCCAGTACTGTACCTATGCCCTAGGCGGTTTGACAATATCTAGTGAAATTTAAAAAACTCACTTGTTTCTATCTTTTTCTCCTCATTGATTTTTTGAAATAAGTCGATATGTCAATATGCTTTGGTTGGTTTTGGTGAACATGGTGGATGGCCAATCAGTTTGTATCTCAGTAGGTTTAATATTTGCCTATGCTATAATCATATTAAACACACATTATCATGTGTGTTTCAGTGCAATATCTTGATAGAACAGAATCAAGGGCGTTTTTTTCTCATCTCAGCATTGAAAATATCAGTTGAGCTGTGTATCACTTATCAGTTATTGTTTTACCCTTTTCGAAGTAATCAAAATGAATAATGCTTTTTGAAAATATATCGATTATATCACCTTTTCAATCGATAGGGTGGTATTGGTCTTCTTTTGATGGCAATCGCCACCTTTTCTCCACTGCTTTGACTGTTTCTTATTCTCCGCAAATAAACAAACTTGGCATCCATAAAGTGGATAGAGTTGTCATGTTGAAATGTTCATACGTGATGTTATGTAAAAGCTTAGTTGATATCACACTTTGATTCTATGATCTGTCACGATCACATTATGAATTTTGTTTGTTGTTTTTTGATGGAGCATCTGAACTTTCATTATGGAACATATTTTTTTGAGTACAAACAAATGCAGCTTCATAAAGTTTCACTGTTGCAAATTCGCTATAAACAGCATCCAGTTCAGCTCTGATTTGTGCATTATTTTTCAATTTTTCTTAAACATAAAAGTTGCTTGCTTTCAACGACAGCTAAACTAAACTAATTTTTGTACCTGCTTAAATTTCAGTAGTTTGGATGGAAGATGTCAAAACCGATAAAAAATCGTTTATGACATTTTGCCATCTATTAAAGGTTAGGTTAATGATAAACCACCCTCATACGTTGAATCTAAGTAGATGTAGTAGAAATTAATTTTGAAACCAAAGTATAAAATAAATCCCTTGTATATTACTTACCCCCTGCTTTGGAAGGTGTTTTGTATAATGAAGTCAAAAGATTGGTCAAAAAGAGGTAATGACTAGTACATATCTGCAGTGACTGAGCATGCTGTGAATGAAGTATAACAGCACCAGAATATACAGGAAACCTCATAAAATCTTGAATCGTTTGATTGTAATACAATATAAAGGATCCTGATGTTTTTGAATATTGCAGTAGCGTGGAATAAATCCAAAACAAGCACTTCTCCCAAATAACAGAACTGCAATACTTTTCTCAATTCGTGTTTCACCAACTTGTTTGTTAAAACACGCATCGAGAAGAGTATTGCAGTTCTAGTGTTTAGGAAAAGTGCTTGATTTGGCAGTCACGACAAAGATACAATGATATTATGTAAGAAACAATAGTTCATCTATTTTTATATAAACGGTATTTTTTCATTCAGTGTCATAAAAAGTTGTATGTAATACATAATACATTTGAGAGATTATAAATATTTGCCAGTCACAACCTATCTATATGGTACAGAGTATAGGCAAACAATACTTCACATCATGAAATGAATTTAGGGAAAAATTAGGAATATACTTATAATATTCAACAACACAATGGATCTGGAAATTTTATAACTATACTAGAGATAAGTATGTATGTTTAGCTGGTTTCGTAAATAAAATTTAAAATTACCCCATCTGATCAGTAAATCTTCCATAATAGGAATAGGAAAAACAATTACTCTTCTGACTAATTTGAATGAATATTTGAGAAACATGTGCAATGTTGCTGATAAAATGTATTTGCCTTACATATTCATTAATGAATCGAAGAGGTTTTTTGTATTAATTGTATTGTATTAGTATTCCTACTACGGAACAGTGCAATGAATATGTAAATAGATTTGGAAAAGCTGAATACACTTAATTGAATTAATGAATCGAAGAGGTTTTTTGTATTGAAGTGTATAATTTTTAAAATTCTTGCAAAGCGCTTTCGACTTTCATCATCATCAGTGCTCACCTGAAAGTAAGTGATCTAATTGAAAAGGAAGTTTAGTGAAAATTGAAGTTTTAAATTCTTTAATAATCTTTAAGGTTGAGAAATTTGGAAAAATTGTTTAATCAAATTAAGTACATTGCACATTTGTAATATTTGACTTATAGAGAGAGAGAGAGAGAATATGCTTTATTGTATACATGATAAATCATGGTTACAAAGCTTAAAAATAGTACAAAATAATACATATAAAATATTAAAATCAGTACAAGGTGTGTGTACACACACACCAACAGACACACACATGCATAGTACATACATTAAAAACACAATAAAGTCCTAATTTGGAAAGTTCTTTAGAAATCTCCAACTCTTCAAACAAGTCAAGTCTAAGGAAATTTTTAGTATCTATTTTATGTAATATTTTGGAATTTCTATTGGGACTAAAGTTGTGATTGTGAAATTTTGTGTGGTGGCCAAAAGCAGATTTGTCGGGTTTTTTAAAATGTTCATTAATACGAGTAAAAAGAGGTCTACAGGTTCTACCAATGTAAGATGCCCAACAATCAGAACAGTCAAGCTTGTAGACTCCACTTTTGTATAATTTGTTGATTTTGTTTTTGGAATTTACTAAAAAGTTACTTAAGTTGTTTTGAGATTTAAAAGAAATATTTGTGCCAGCTATGGTATTTTCTATAATTTGGAAATAACAGTACACATATTTTGATCAAAATAAGGTAAGGAAAAATATTTCACAGAAGGTGAATTAACGAAGGTGGTAGAGTCTGGTCATGTCATTCCTTTCAATTGTTCGTTTTTGTTATAGTAAGATCTAAAAAGTTTAATTTATTGTCTTTTTCTATTTCAAGTGTGAATTTAATTTTTGGATGTAAGTTATTTAAGGAGTCAAGGATATCATGTGCTAAATTAGAGTTACCATCTATGAAAACCAAGCAGTCATCAACATATCTGTGCCAATTGAGAATCTTATCAATTTTATTAATGACACTTGTCACATTCTGTCTCAAGTTGTCCTTCTTCATATAATACTTTCACTGAACCACATGGCCTCAATCCAAAAATGTATTTTCTTGGCTATAAGCCTATTTTGTTTTATATAAGTCAAATATTACAAATGTGCAATGTACTTAATTTGATACTTTCTGTTGCCTGACAAGTAAGTAATCTCAAACAATTTTTCCAAATTTCTTGACTATAAAAAATTTTACAACTTCAATTATCACTAAACTCCCTTTTCAATTAGATCACTTACTTTCAGGTGAGCACTGATGATGACGAAAGTCGAAAGCGCTTTGCAAGAATTTTAAAAATTATACACTTTAATACAAAAAACCTTTTCGATTCATTAATTCAATTAAGTGTATTCAGTTTTTCCTAATCTATTTACATATTCATTGCACTGTTCCGTAGTAGGAATAAAATTGTTAGAGCCCACAGAATTGTTACGAAGTATTGGTGTTTTGCTTGAATCTAACAAACCTCCTGCTGGTATATCACCTGGCATTTACTGAGGAAATCAAAATTTTCAATTTCATTGGAGATACTAATTTGTTTTACCCAATGATTTGATATTGTTTCTATTTCAATTCTATGGTTGACGATATTTTTACATTTGAACATGTAATTGATCATTCAATATATTATTAATCAAAGAGGAAATAGTCCAAAATGACACTAAAAACCAAAATTGTTTACTCTCACTAACAGCGTTTTTTTTTTGCAAGCTGCCGATGAAACCTCCTCCAATCCTTTTCTTGTAGAAGATAATACCCCTTCCCTGCTAATTCTAGATTCCCCATCCGAATCCACTGATACACCGATTCTGAAAGTCATTGATTTTTTTCAAAGGCAAGGTCTATCGAATGAAGACTCCAGCTTATCAAAAGATGTTTGATTCCCATCACTTTCAACATATTGTTTCTTCTCTACCTTCGACAATAATATTTCACATACTAATATAGTTTCCCTCATAAATATTGAACTATTGAGGTATATTGGTAAATTGTTTGCACTTACAGTCAATGGTATAAGTGGTATATGTAAACAATTTTCAGGTGAATCCATTCTATATTTATCTGTGTTTGTTGTCTTTCATTTTATTATAATCTGTATCGCATGACATTTACCTGATGTGCTTATAGCATGTTGTAGCTTGTTTGGTATTTGAATGAATGCCCATCGCCTGATATTTCAAACGAACATCATCTATATTGTAAATCTGTTCCAAGTCACTTGTTACTCATATTCAGAAAAACAACTATGTAAGAAATTTTTGCTTTTTCACCTGAGTTTTTAGTATATTTATTGTAATATTAATAAATAACACATGTTTTCAGCCAACTACAAAGAAATTTGAGAAATAATGAACTGGAAATAATGAACATTTTTAGGTTAATCATATCATTATCTAGAAAAATTAATCTTATCTTTGTCATATTATTCAAAATAAAACATTTTACTCCTCTGAAATATCTGAAAACCATTCATTTCACTTTAATTTACTGACAATTGCAACGTAATATGTTTGTGGCATTGCAAAATTTTTTTTCAAACCATTACAAATTCACAAACTAAAAAAGATTATATTTAGTGAGTTATTCAATATTTGCTGATTAATGGAAAAACAAATTTAGAGAGACAGACTATTGAGATTCAAAAATGTTTATTTCAAAGTCATTCTACTCCAGTATAACTTATGTTATCCAACTTTATACATTTATACTTATACATTTCATCTAGTATTTCAATTATCTTATTCGTTACTTGAATGGTTCTTCTTATAAACAAAGTTTTAAGAGCATGTTTTGTTTGTATATACTTTTTATCAACCTTTATTAACCCTCTATACAGGGCTTTTCACACGACGACCATTAATTAGACATTTCTGTCAAACCAGGCAACGAATCAACCTGAAAATTTTACAGTATGCATTAATTGATATGATCTACAAGCCTAAAATATTTAAGATGATGCGGCGACGCCGCTTGCACTATAATGTAGCGACTACTTTGATTTTTAAAATGTAACACCCTGTATATAATATCATATTATGATTTCTTATCACTTTGTCAACAACTCTATGTACTATTTCCGTATGCCAATTTTGTTACCGTTTAGAAGATATTAATTAATTTAAATTTTTTTATCAAACGTACTTGTATAAACACTGATAATCTTGGACTCTTTGGTATTAAGACGATCAAATTAGAAATGGAGTGGAGTAATACCATGAGGATCTACAGTTCGAATCATATTTTTATTTGTTTTATACAGGGTTTAAAAAAATACTTTTATCACTATTTCCACATTTTTGAACTCTACATCCAATTTTAGATTGACTTTGTTCAGATAATCCTAATTCGATTTCGAACCATGTTTGAGGTAAACTGTTTCAAACGGAAACTGACGTGGTTTCCTTGTATTCATCACCTATTTTTGAAATTTAACATCTATTTTATAATACGTAATATTTCTCTTTGATTTAGTTTTTCAACCTACCCAATTAACATTGAAAATACATACCTGAGTTTGTGAATAAATCAATAAACAATAAATTGATGAATGTAGCCGTTACTACGTGGTAGGAGATCATAATGAAGAGAGAAATGAAAATTTCTATGTTTTTTACCACTTTTAATTGTAACTAACGTTACTGCAGTTTCGTCCTATATGGACATTCTCAAACTAATACAATAAACTAACAATTATTCATTACATTCGCCAATATATACCATTCAGGTACTTGATTGAGTACCTGAATTTACAGTTCACAATGCGGATATGCCAATTTAAAAACCGGAGAGTAAATTAAATCGATTTGATCATTCAACAGGTTGCACCCGCAATGTTTATGCTTGTAAATTTCCAAGGATTCTAAATAATTAAGATTGCAACCCTTCCTTGCATTGTGCAGAATTTCCGTATCGTTTAGATTTGGAAACTTGTGGTTGCATGCCACGGAATGGTTTGAAAACGTTGAATTATTTTTTCCTAGTGTGAATGAAGGACCTTTTATGTTCAGCATACCGTTTTTGGAAATTTCGTCCGCATTGTCCCACATAAACACTATTACACTCCGGACACTAAAGCTTATAAACTCCAGATTTTTTCCCCAACTTGTCGACCTTATTTTTGGCATTGATCTGGAGTTTATAAGCTTACGTGTCCGGAGTGTAATAGTGTTTATGTGGGACAATGCGGACGAAATTTCCAAAAACGGTATGCTGAACATGAAAGGTCCTTCAGACTAGGAAAAAATGATTCGACGTTTTCAAACCATTCCTTGGCATGCAACCACAAGTTTCCGAATCTAAACGATACAGAAATTCTGCACTATGCAAGGAAGGTTTGCAATCTTAATTATTTAGAATCCTTGGAAATTTACAAGCATAAACATTGCGGGTGCAACCTGTTGAATGATCAAATCGATTTAATTTACTCTCCGGTTTTTAAATTGGCATATCCGCATTGTGACCTGTAAATTCAGGTACTCAATCAAGTACCTGAATGGTATATATTGGCGAATGTAATGAATAATTGTTAGTTTATTGTATTAGTTTGAGAATGTCCATATAGGACGAAACTGCAGTAATGTTAGTTACAATTAAAAGTGGTAAAAAATATAGAAATTTTCATTTCTCTTTTCAAATCGATAAACATTAACGTAAGAAAAAACTATAAAGTGTACAAACTCATGTGAATAAACATGTAATAAATAAAATTAATTTGAACTCGTTTCATTTGGAGAACTGCGTTTATGTAGAATAAACTTCCTGAGAATATTTTTTCAAATGAATTTAATTTCCAACAATTCAAATCCAAAGCACAGGCACTGCTTTTGGAGCGCCTTCAAGATTTTCCTGTAGTGCTTGTGTTTTGTCCTCAAAGGAGTCATTTAATTCTATTTGGTCATTCAGTGAACGACCCAAATTCTTAAATCTATTTATTTCAGAACATTCTAAAAGATTGAGTTTCAAACTTTACTCTTCTAAATGTAACACATCATATTCGTGATTGAACTCATGTTCTTCTACTATAAAGTGGTTTTACAAATGTGGAATAATTGATCTTCCATTCTCATGACAAAATTGAATTCATTAGAAATTAAGTGTTTCTTGTAACAATAGTTTATTTTTGTTTTGAAAAAATTCAGTCAAAAGTAATTTTGAATAACTTCGAAAGCACTTCTTTTTACGGTAGTCAGAAAAACTTCTGCCACTGTTTGAAATCTGCAGTATACTTGGTCAAGTATCCTATGTGTCGGCTTGGAGCTATTTGGCGAAGAATGCTTTGGTAGTAACATTTCATTTCTTTGAGATTTTGTAGCTGATTCATAGTATAACATGATATCATCAACTTCTGAAAACAGTTTGTCTCTCAACGGGATGTCCAATAATTTTTTTTTCTATTTACGAAAACCTATTTTAACCTCTCGTGTGTTTGTTGTATACTTTATACTTTTTACATATCCTATAGCTTATTGCTCCAATGGATGAATAAAGAATGAACTGCATAGTTTGCACTACTCTCTGGCTTGCAAAATGGAACAAAAATCAAATAATTACATATTTCTCTACATTGAATGGAACATATTTTTCCATTCCAGCTAGCAGCTTTGACGCCTTAGGAGGTCTCCTTCAACCGATGAATTCAAGTGGGCATAAAAACGATACATCGACGATTTCGACAAGCAATAATAATGCTAATAACAATCAGCAATCTTCAACTAATGGACTTTTGACAGGTGATTTGGAGTCTAGTCTAGCATCTTTGGCAGAAAATTTATCCATAAACAATAGAGTACTTCCTCCAAAGTAAGTATCAAATATTATTTCTAGTACCTAGCGGTACAGCTCCAATTGAAAGAATATTCAGAATCAGAATATGCTTTATTGTCGAAAGAATACAATTCTTGTTGACAAAGTCAGTTGTCGTACATGCATGTATGTTAAAATATAGTTAAAATGACACTTACAGATGTATAAACACAAATAAACACAGAAATTGTAGTCTGGCAAATCTGGGACCCTAGGACCCTTACTCTGACATTCCAGAATAGAAAAGCAGGTTATAGTTGTATAATTTTCATTTTCATCTGAAAATAGAACAACAACAGGTTGTTTCAAAAGTTTTGCTTATTTTTATGAGTGTATTTTGAATACTCATTCAATTTATCCAAAATAAGCGCCATTTAAATCAGTGCCCTTTTGCCAACATAACACAAGTCTATTATTTCCATCAGCATAAAAATTGTGTGCTGGAAATTCGATGAAATCGACGGAAGACCGATTTTGCCTGGTCCTGATTAACGAAGGTTCTACCAGTTAGAAAGTGCTTAAAAAGATGGTAGTTGGTTGGCGGGAGATCGAGGAAGTATGGTGGGTGAGGCAGAACTTCGACGCTCAATTTGTTTAATTTACAGACCGTGATTTGTGAAACGTGAGGACAGGCGTTGTCGTGGAGCAGGATAACCTTCTCTGTTGACCAGTGCCGACTGCTGCTGATGCAGTTTTTGGTACATTTCGTCGATTTCCTCAAATAGGACTGCTGTGATGGTTTGGCTTGGTTTCAGAAAGTTATAGTGAATCACACCAGCCGCTGACTACAGTAAGCATGGTCTTTTCTGGTGGGTTTTCGCCTTTGGTAAGTCCTAGGTGGCTCATAGGTGTCCAACCACTGTCCTGAGTGTCTCCTGGTGTCGTAGAAGATGCACTTCTCATCACACGTGACGATCCGATACAAAAAAAGGATCATTTTTTTTAACTTTTTGACCTTTCCAATGCGTTCTAAACTATCAAATACCTCATAGGAGCTGACGCTCAGTTGTTCCGCCATCCCACGCACCATTTTTGATGTTTCCGTCTCCACCAGGGTCATCAATTGTCATCCTGTAGGACACTCATTTCGAAGATAAAATCTCCGGAACGATATTGCGCAAACCAACGTCGAACAGTGCATTCATTAACACAATCATTGCCAAAACCTTCGTTTATTTTTCAGGCTGTTACAACAACGCTTTGGTTCAATTTGAATTCGTAGAGAGAAATTGGCCGAAAATTGCTTAACGACATCATATAGTTAGTTATAAATTAAATAGAAGAAAAAAATCAAATTTGACAGAAATGAACAGCATCAATGTATAGAATACTATATTCTCTATAGATCAGTTTATACCATACTGGAATAAATATACATTGAGATATAGAGCTACACAACGGAAAAAGCTTTCAAAACAACCTAGTAGATATAGTAAAAGTAATTTTTCTATCAATCTACTTTGTCTTCAGATCAAATGTCTTCAAAGCACAATAACAACCTTGAAAGTATTATTTTCAAAATTGATAAAAGTAGAATTACCAACTACTTTCTATTTGAAACATACCTGTGAAATGGAACTGTGAAACAATCTGTTTACTATGTATTCGTATGTTGCTTGCTTTCTTTGGGTTTTATGCCGCAAACTCAAATTGAAAACAGGTATATATAGTATGGAACGTTTCTTTAACAATTTTTCACATTATGAATAAAGGTGGTACATTTTCCTAATATCGCATAAAAAATTAGTTTTTGAATGCCATTAAACTAGCAGTTGATTATTCATACTATTCTGGATATACTTTTGCAACAACAATCATTTTATTTTGAATTGAAATGGTAATATTTTTAGGAGAGGTGACTTTTTGGGAAAAAACTTTTTACTTCTTTGGAAGTTTTCCACATTTATCATTTAATTTCGTGAGAATTGGGGAAATTAAATTTGAAATTTTTTCCTTATTGTAATGCAAAATATATTTTATAGGAACGTTCAATGGAATTCCCCGAAAAATGGTTCCAAAACAGGAAACAGCTGGACCCCCCAGCCTATGTCAGACACAACAGGTGCAGGATATAAACCCATGAACCAATCCATGCAGACTTCACCATTCAGCAGTATGACAGTAACATCTCCTCAACCTTCGATTTATCCTCCAATCTTGGTATGTTGATATTAAATGAAGAACTAACTTTGAAATTTTTTTTGAAAATGAGAATTTATTTTTATTATACGAGGATATATTGATGAATATATAGTTAGCCTAGACTAGTTCCTTGAATAAACAATTTATTTCGTTATCATGTGACATATAGTCTTTATTTTTGAATTATGCCTTTCTCATAATTGAAATAAGGTATAGGTTTAAAAGGTTCAAGTATCAAGCAACTATCAAATGGCAATTTGCTAAAAAGAAAAAATATGTAATGAAACAAATACAAAGTAAGTAAATTAATGACAATAATTATATCAGATATTTTTCTCAAGAGAATTTATCTAGTCGAATTTGGGATGATTCTAAAAAGTTACATGGCTGACAAACTGTGAATAGCCATGATGCTCCCTAGGTGGCTTGTGGGGTTGATAACATTGCCTATCAAGAACACAAGGCTAATGACCAAGCAGTCGATGCCGTTGACACTCATGAACAAAAAATTATATTGATTTCATTTCAAGACACTATATTAAATATATTAGTTCAGCTAAACTCCGTGATAGGAATCACACGTTAAAAGGTAAGACCTCGTAAGTCTCAGAAGTTTCTCAACTTCTGAGAGTTGTCGTTCGTATGGGGGCGACAGCTGATTAACGGAAAAACAGATTTTAAACAGAAACTTACTTTTATACTTATCCTAATGAATACTAAAAATGATTTCCAGATAAGTACTTTCGGAAATAATGCATGATGAGAAAAGAAACTAACGAGTATGGAACTAGAAACACAGAATCACAAATTTATCTACCTATTACATTTTCAATTTTTCTTCAAATTTTCTTTTGAATGTAGTAGGCTTTGAATAATGTAGCAAATACGTTTAATGAATAGTCAAATTCACTGAATCCTGGTATGAAATGAGAGCAAGAGTTTTGGACTCGTTAAATTCTAATTTTGATAGAATTATTTATCATATAGCAGTTTTTTAAGACTCAAATATAAGCTTTTCTAAAATGGATAAAATATTTTTGAGGTGTAATAAGGATTTTTTTAAGAGATGATTAGCATGTTCACTAAATTTGAGATCCTTATCAAATGTAACACCTAAGTTTTTTATAGCATAAACCGGTTCAAGAATACCAACTCGTATTATTACTTCTATGGGCTTTTCGACTAATTGCCTGTGTTTTTTTCTTCCAAAATATATAACATGAGATTTCGTAGTGTTCAGCGGGGGGGTTATGCTTAGTATATAATCAATACCGAGGTTTTATACAGTTAAATCAGAACATATAAATAATAACAAAGGCACTCCATATTTTGACTTACCACATCTACTCATACAACAAAAATATTATAGTGAATAGTCACCATACATATACCGATGCATCTAAAACATCAGCAGAAGTAGCAACAGCCATTCTAACAAACGACCATTCAGAAAGCTTCAGACTACCAACAGTGACAACCATATATACAGGGAAATTATTTGCCAGTCTCTAGCTGCCACATCAGGACTAAAACAGAAATAATAGAATGTTCAAGTATATGCCACAGAAACAAACACACCAAATACAACAAACTCTAGTACTGCAGTTTCATCCTATATAGACATTTTCAAACTAATACGATTAAACTCTTATGAAACTAACAACTTACTTCCTTACTTGACCCATATCAATGTCATAAAATATATTTGAATGTAATTCAATGTATACTATATTACCACAGTTGCTAATAATCCAACGGATTGATGCGACTTCAAACATGAAATTTAAAAAAATGAAAAATAGTCAGCTCCTGTTAGCTTTATTTGAAAGTGTTTGACAATGGTTCTTGGTAAATGTTATAGGTTCGGACTTCCTTGTTCAAAATTATTTTAACAGATTGAAAATCTATAGAAATACAAATAAAATTGAGAAAAACATTGTTGAAAACATTGTAAATAATGGGACAGAAAATTCGGTTGAGTTCCATAAAACAGAAATGATGTCAAAAAAAAAAGAAAAAAAGGAAAATGAATCCATGATAGGTCAAACAATTAGTGAAATATCAATATACAATAAAAAAAATATAATGAAAGTACTAGTATATGAATGGCGAAGAAATGCCTGGTTTCAAACCAATTTACTTCACAATAGAAGAGAGACCTTTGCCAACTTGTTCAAATTTCTTATTCTACTTGCGTTTCATTCCATAGTCATAATTGTTTACAGTTTCTTGGGTTATAAAAGACACATGCCGAAACTTGTATGTATATTTGGAAGAACAGAATATATCTTCAGTTATCCTGAGATAGAAGTGGTCCCATGAAATATAAATTTCAAAATATTTCATTATTTGTTTTCAATTTTTCAGGGTATTCGTCCAATTCCTCCGAGTCATTCCATGATGGCACCAATACCAACCATGAGCCAAGTAAATCCCACTCCCAACCAAATGGGCCAGTCACTGTTATTCCACTGAGAAAGTGGGTGTTATGTTTTGTATGAATGTATGTACGCCATCCTTCAAATGTATATAATTTTGTCACTTGTAACAATCAAGGGTACAATAATGATAGTTATAGTTTTATTGTATCTATACAGTATCGATAAATTGATATAGAATGGCAGCAGATCAGGACATATCAAAGTGATATTCTATTGAATATATTTCTGTATATCTGCCGTATTTTAAATCAACTCGTATATATGAAAAAATTGTGATTATACTTCAACTGTTTTTTTGCCACTGCTTTTAGGGGCAGTTTCTTTTATTCTCATTTACTCCAGGTGTGATTATATATGAATAAAATGATGTAGTATATTACCATGTTTAAAAAACTTGTTTTGTTACTTTACTTCTCTTCTCATCACTCATCTGGATACGAAATACAATTGAATTGAATTTTAAGGAATGACCTGTAGTTATAAAAAAAGAGGTACAAGAACTTATTTGGAAATAGATTTCGTTGTCTCCAGACAGAAATTTTTTATGGCTATTTCAGCATTGTTTCCATTTATGTGAGGTCAAACCTTGAGAAGTGGTAGGTATATAAAAATTGGGTTGAAATGTTTTTTCCTGATTTTTTTTTAAATATGCCACCTAATTGTGGACGATCAATTTTTATTTTTCAGGGTTCATTTGTAATAATTGTAACTTTGGGTATGCTGCAACCAAAAAATTTTTTTGAGCACTGTCCGACTCGTATAGAATCATACTCTATTAATTGTTACTTAGGTCAATATACATTTGTGTTTTTACAATGTCAAAGAAATGAGGAATCATTACCTCAAAGAAGATATTTGGAAACAAATAAGAAAAAAATATTAGATGAATAAGTCTCTGGAATGACTTATTGAAGTATTTGTAATGTATTTTATGATCCTAAAATACTTCGAGAATGATTTTCTTGAATCACTACAAGGAGGTGCTGCTAAGAAGAATTGTTGACATTGCCATCTTTTAATTGGCCTGAATACTTTTAATACTTTCCTCAAAGAAAATGTGATGATATTTTGCAATATTTTTATTGGCCTAAATACTTTCAATATTTCCCTCAAAGATGATAGTGATAATACTCAATTCAGTTTTTGAATAACTTTTGGTTATCATTTGTAATTATTGTAGCATCTGAAAAATTTCCACTCTTTTTAACAATCAGTGATTTGCACTAGGCTTTAAATGACATTCTTTTATTGTACTCGTGATAAATCATCTATAAAGTTCGATGTCGACAGTGAGCATTTCAGTTATACTGATCCTCATATCACTATATATTAAGAGACTGATACCCAAAGTGGTGAAAAATATATAGTTCATTGAAATAACTTGATATCATTCAATTGAAAATGAAGTAAATGCAAATAATTTGACACTGGGATTTTGAATCTACTTTTTGAACTTTATATATTTTGGATTTGAGAAAATGAAAAATATTCATTACCTAATGATTGAGTTTCTAATAAAAACCGTTGGTAAATTTTCAATGATGTATTATACTTTTCATGTTCGAAAATGAGTGCCAAATAGAAAACAAACTTATATGAAAGCGTAGTGGGGCCACATGTTTTTATTATTCGTTTCTTGGAAATTACGACTTTGAAACTCGAAATTTTGAGGTTAAGGTCGAGAAATTTCGAGTTCAAAGTCGTAATTTCGAGATTGAAGTCGAAATTTCGAGAATCAATCTCGTAATTTCTAAGAAACAAATAATTAAAAATATGTGGCCCTTCTGCGCTTCTGTATAATTTCTAGTTAACAAGTCGAAATTCTGAAATCAAAGTAGAAATTTCCAGATTAAAGTAGAAATTTCGAAATCAAATCTTGACATTTTCGTTTTAAACTCGAAATCGTGACATTTAAACCCGAAATTAGGACTTCAAACTTGAAATTACGAGATGAAGTCGAAATTTCGAGTTGAAAAGTCGTGATTTCAAAAAATTTCGAAGTTAGGAGATTAAAGTCAAAATTTCGAGATTGAAGTCGAAATTTCGAGATCAATGTCAAAATTCCGACATTCAAGTAAAAATTTTGAGTTTCAAAGTCGTAATTTCCAAAAAAAAAAACGAATAATAAAAATATGTAGCGCTTTCATAGAATTATGGTTTTAAACTCAAGATTTCAACTTTAATTTCGTAATTTCAAAAAGCCATAATTTTGAAGTTTCTAGATTAAAGTCAAAATTTCGAATTCAAAGGTGTAATTTTGAAATTATGAGATTAAATTCGATATTTTGATATTCAAAATTGTGATTTCCAAGATACAAATAGTTATTTACTATCGTCATTGCCTTCTTATATCAAGTAACGTCAAGAATGTGTGAAAATGATTGTGCATAGTGAATTGTGATGTTTGTTTCTCACATTATAGAAAGTTTTGTATTTCCTAAACCATATCTTAAAGAAGTTTTCGATTCGAAGTAATTTCTGTTACTTCATGTACATTTGAAGAAAATTATCAATCTTCAATAAAGTCGCCCCGGAGCGCCAATTAATTTTTATTGTTGCTTTTATTTTTATCGTTGTTTTATAATTTCACAAATAAAAATGTTCAAGATAATTTATCTCACTTCTATCTCAAACTGTATAAATCGTTTTGTTTGAATCATTTGAAGCCTATTGACATGCACTCTCATATTTAAAAGGAATATAAAGTATTTTAAATTTTCATAACAAATATTTAGTGAAAATCATATAAAGATGTAATGAATATATCTGTTTCAATATCAGAATGATTTCAACTTGCTCTGCCTATGGGTTTTAATTTATGTAGAAAAAGATAATGAAATATGTATTTACTAAAATTATTTACATAGATGAGCAGAACTAAATTACATACCCATAATAAGTTTTAATTTTAAGCTAACTTTGAAACATTGGTTGATTCTCTTTCATTATTATAAAGAATGATTGAAATAATTCTCCGGTGACTTTTTATGAATTCAACATTTGTTTATAATCCCTCTCATTTTCTAGGAATTGATGACGAAATATTTTCATAGCATACATAGAGTGTGACAGAAATGAAAATTCCAGTACAATTTTTCTGTATGATACTCTATTTTGCTCCGTGGTGAGGTCACACAGACAAGTTGAATCGAAGTATCAAAAGTTTCTCGATTTAGAAATCTGTCTCGGTAAAGTCTCTGTTCAAAAACACAACCATTATGTGACAATGTATGAAGAACAGTCACTAATGTTTGAAAATTTTTGGTTGAGAATGGAGAGTCAATAGGCATGGAGATTTGTGAATACATTATAACTTTCATGCGAAATTGATTTCTTCAACTGAACTTTTCATCAAAAAAACAAATAGATTGACTCTCGTAACTTTTAAAGGTTTTTCTGATACAATTTCTTTTCTAAAATGTTGATTAGTTGTCAGAATCCAATCTTAACTCAACGGAGAAGGTATCAATTTTCTTCCTGAAGCTTTATTTCATATTTTTTGTTGTTCTTAGGACGATTTTACTATTTTTCATTTCTATTTCCAACCCTCTCCGGTTAGTCTTTTTACAATTCTTTTAAGTTTGTTGAGCATCATGAAAATTGATGTGTGAATGGTTATGAATATTTCTATTGATATTATATTTCCTCATATCATTTTCAGCATTTATTTAAATTTGGTATGTTTCACAAGTTTCCACATAATAAAGTCGAATGATTAATTCGTCATTCGAAATTTTTGACATTTACTCAGAAGCATTTTCACGAAAAATATTATTAGACTGGTCAAAATACAACATCAGTCAAAAGTGATTGGAATATGTCTTAATCAGTCTTCTTGAATATACAGAGTGAAGCATACTGTGAACTAGATTAATATTTTATTCTAAAACTTCATTTATTTTGTGTATTTGCATTCGAATGTTATACTCAAAGTAGTGAAGGTAATTATTAATGATATGCATTTAGATAATATTCTTTCTGCGTTTATTTGCTATATTTGATGTGAACAAATCGAAGAATTTGGGATAATTCCCTTCTCACTTTTTATTGATTATATTTTTTAATTTTCTGTCAAAAAAATCTTCATCAGAGCTAATTTTCCATACTCTCTAGATTATGGAAGCATTTACATTTATTTTATTCAAATATACACATCGGTTTCTAATTCTGCTTATTTATTTGAACATTTCTGAGTGAAACGTGATTTCTATTATGTTTGACAATAAAAAATTTCGAGAATGGTCCATTTTTACAGTAGCAGATATTAGAAAAAAATTGTTGAATTTATAACTGAGATTGTTAAGTGAAATGAAGATGTATTATATATTTTTAACTACCCATTTTGTAAAAGTTCTTATGCCATATTGTGATTGAATTGAAAGGTGTTTGTGACCACACTTTGCAGCACCAACTGTGTGTTGCACTATTCTTACATTTGTGTCGCTTGTTATATTTCTATAATATGGAAAGCTTTGTCTCATTATTTGTGTACAGACTCAAATCATCATATCAGTGTTCTCTGTGTTTATTTTATTTCTTTGCTTTGCTGTCGTAGAGAACCTTGTTAAACAACTTGTATAAATAAATTGATATCAGTAAGGTAACTCTTGTTTCAATTGATTCCATTCCTTATTTTCAGCTAACAAGGAATTGAGATAAATTATCAATTATTTGAGGGGGTTTAAATTTTAAATTGGTTTCTACATCAAGAAGCGGTTGTCCTCATACAAACAACAACTCTTAAAACGGAAGCTTATACAAACTAGAGATTAACGAGGTATTTCCCTTCTACGTGAGGTTCGTAGAATATTGTAAACATAGACATGCCTGGAATTGTTTCAATCAGGGAGCGTTTGAGTTCATACACTGCCTCGCTGCTATTTCCCCATCTCTGTTTGAAATGCTGGCGATGAATAATTATAAAAATCGAATTTTTTGCTTAACTTTTCATTTGAACTGTATTGTCAAAATAGGTCATTGAAAAGGTGCATAGAAACCCTAATGTTTTCATCGATTCGCTTTTGTTTTGTCAAAAACTATTGACACAGATGAATCCAACTTTGTACATATGTTGATAGATGGTGCAAGAATAGAACATTGGTTACAATTGGAACATAACAATGAAAAGCTCTGCGTTGAATGTAGCAATAAAGAGATTTTTGAAAAATTTCAATATTTTCCATCAGTTGCAAATTATGCGTTTAGACGGACATTTTTGAAATACATTATCACTTATGAGTCATCAAAAACGAATGAATGCGAGTTTATGTGACGCTTGTCCACACTTCTCAATGAGCGAATGTATTTCAACAATGTCCGTCTCAACATTTAATTTTCCGCGATGTTGAATCGTACACTCGTCTCACTAATAAAATGGCTTTAACCGTTGGAAGCTGGTTGGAAGCAATCTGACTCTTGTTATGACATTTCCAATTAGTAACATGTTTAGGGTTGAATTGTCTTATTGTATGTAGTGATCTTCTACAATTTTATTTCAATTCCACTTTTATTCTATTGTTCTTATCAATTACTTGTTCAATTATTTAATTATTGTCTATTTTAGATGCTTTTTTGGTAAAAATAGGTTTTTCACTTCTTCATCATTGAACAAAAAATGTGGGAAACTTCCAAAGAATGGAAAAAAGAAAATGACTACAATAATTACTTCTATAAAAATATGTAGACCCTTCACAGAAGTTTTTTTCAGATACGATTTGGAAAAAGTTTCCCACTTTGTTTTTAATGATAGAAAGGTAGAAAGTCAATAATTTTTTCCAAAACAATATTTATAAATTCAATAAATTTCAGTTTGGAAAATAATTTTCGGAAGATATTTGAGAAAAATTAATTTATTGTATTACAGTCTTCATTAACGCAGTAAAATCCGATACAATGATTTTTCGAATTTTTGTCTATGCGTTTGTGCGCACTAATCCTTAAATCAATCAGGTGCACTTTTCACTAATGTATTGTGGTAATCATAACTTAACATTTGGTGTTTCCTTCATTTCAATCGATACATAACTGAATTATAATACTGACCAGTTCATTTAGATCGAACTGTGATCAATGATATCGTTGGTTAAAGCATAAACGCCCCCTATTCTCAGTAAACCACTCTTATATCATTCAACAATGTGAGACTAGTTAGTTTACCACCCATACACAAACTATCCTGTTGATATTTATAAATCAAAAGATTCACTTTGAGCTGTTTTGATGAGGAGATTAAAAGTAGTTTCAGTTTATGATTCTAATGATTGAACTGCTTATTTATTAGTGTCGTGTTGAGTATTTTTTATAAGTCTTCAGCAATAAGTTTTTTAGATTTACTTAGGCTTGAATATGTTGTGATGATTTTTTGATATCACAATAAGCGCAGGGGAAAATTTCGATCTCTTTCATCATTTTTGACTAGCTCAGTGGGTTCAAACTCGGTTTCAGAATTCTAATCAACTCGTTCAGTATTGAACTCAAGCAAAATTCATTGACTGCCTCTCATCAGCTGCTTAAGCACTGCACTAGCTTTCTCATGGTCAAGAAATAATCCAAAAATGGAGTTGAAACTTCTGTTGTGAGTAATCCAAACTCAAAAATCCACAACCTGACGAATATAGGGGGAAGTGTGTAATTTCGGCTGTAAACTCTCAAGGAGATACATTATTTTGGCTTTCATATACGAGTGAGTACAGCTCCTGAAGAGTTCTTTCACATGCATTGAAAGTTTTACTCCATAAGTTATATGATATGACGTAAACATTTTGATAAAAATCAATGATAAAAATATCGTTTATTTGCAAAGTACTCAAAATATGTGAATGTATCTCAAATTATTATCTAGAGTACCTCTCACAAAGATGAAAGAGAATTGTTATCCAAATTTAAAAAATTCCAAAATGCATTTTAGACGCAAAACCCCCTCCCTTGTTCATTTTCAAACGTGATAAAATATCGGGGTTGAATAGAATTATTGATGTGGTTTTTACACTCTTTTGACATAACTTGAATAATAAAATTTTTGAAGTGACCTCAAAAGTGCAATATATTTATTGAAAATGGAACTATGGTCATGATATGAACTCTTGTTTGACAAATGTTGTTGCGAATCAGGCTATGATAATCACCGAAAAGCATACATAACGATAAGTAATTCAAGAGAGGATGATGGATAATTGGAAAACTTTTCAGAAATATCGATTCGCTAATTTTGCCGAATGAAACAAGTAAGAGAAAGCGGAAGTAATAGTGTCACCAAATTAAAATTTTGTCTCGTTAAATGAATAATCACATATCCGATTTGAAAGACCATAGTAAAATTGTGAGCCGCCACGAGACGCCTGGCAGATGTGAAACATCAATAATGATATTTTGTAACCCCTGTGATGAGTGTTGGGTACTGAAATGTGTATAAAAAATATGCAAAAACGTGGCTTCAGTATACTAGTAAACTCAAGAATCTTAGTTAATTATTACAATTTATTACTGAAGACTTTAAATTATAAATATCAATAAATAAATGTTTCAATATAAGTTGCACCATCATTAGAAAACTAGTTAATTAATAAATTTTTTGATGTTCGTAATGATAATAAATAAGAAAAACATTCGTGCGCTACTCGCTACCTATCTGCTGATTTTGAAATACAATTTTGTCAGTCTTCATGAAATTCATTTTTCAAACAAGTGTTTTACGGCATTATTTTTCATGTGAATGAAATTGTAATGAATAATGATTTATCTAAAAATATTTTATGCTACGAAAATTGTATGAATTTTATTTTCCAAGAGAGTAGATTTTACTTTTACTGACCCTTGAGATAAACCAAATATACGCGGTCATATAAGGTCACTGGAATAATGTATGCAGTTGAACTTATGTTGATTGTGTGCATCAATGCATTCATTAGGCTAAGTGACAACGGTAATGATGATTTTTAGTCATGCTGACATTTTGAATATCCTTTAATAAATTTGGGTCCTATGATATGATATGAAAAAATCTTCAAGAATATTTATTTTTGGGGAATTTGAGTACTTCCGTCGCAAAATACAAGACATTTTGGAAAAAGGGTTTGCTCACGGACAAATACAAAAAATAATAATTTATTTTTATCTATTATAATCGTATAAAACTCATGAGACCTGTGGAGATCGTCTTGTGGATTTACTGTTTTGCTAAACAAATTTCAACAATACTTAACAAACCTATATGCTTTATTAAGCATTTATCTTTTAAAAAACAAGACATATCGTACAATTACAGATACACAAATCAATTTTGATATTATTCGCTAGCACTTGAAGGAAAATTTCAAAATAAAATATCATTGGTCCTAAATTATAATTAGAAAAAATAAAAATGAGGCACATCAACACTTACTGAGGGTCTTGAGTTCATATTCTGACTTTACAACTTTTCATTTGACTTTTGAAAGGCTAATTTCAAAGTATATCTATGTATTTGTTTTGAAATTTTTGTAAGAAATATCATTTAATTTTTTTTTGATGGAACTATATTTTGAAAAAGAAACTAGTGGTTGACATTTATTTTCATATTTTCACATTTCAATTTTTCGTGGAAATGGATATCAATCATCTGATCGTCAACAAACCCCTCGAACCTCAATCAGAACCTACGTCAATATATTTCCCAATCATGTGATATTTGATAAGTGAATGGTTCTCGCGAAATAAAATAAAAACCCTGTCCAATGTTTTCAGTTGTACCAGTCGCCATGTCTCTCCTAAGCGTGATAATTGCGTCTCTATTAGTGACTCTCACAGCAGCCAAGCCGTCTTTTACTGGGGACAATTGCACAATAACTGAGTTTTCTCAAGTCGAATCTGTTTCAGCGAAATGTACCAACATCATTGTGTCTAATCTGCAAGTTCCAGGTGGTGAAACGCTAGATTTTAAATTCAAGAAGCCAGGAGTTCATATTACTTTTGAAGGAAAAACCACGTTTGGGTACCAATTATGGAAAGGACCCCTTATCAGGATTCAGGGCGTAGGAATTACCGTTACAGGAGCACCTGGTGAGAATGAGAGTTTGATTAGTTTTCGATCTTGGTTGAGTTTTATTTCATTAGGGTCATACAAAATTTCATATAAGAAATTTTAGGCCAGTCAGACTTTTTCAGTTATACGAGGTTTGTTAAAAAAATTATATGAATTTTAATTTTTCTCAAAAAATATTTATTTGTTCATCAATTTCTATTTTGTTCACTTCAAAGTAGCTCCTCTCAGAAATAATACACTTGTGCCAGCGTTTTTACCAATCCTCGAAGCAGTTCTGATTTGCACATTCTGGTATGTCCTTGAGCTCTCTCAGCTATTTGGTTTTTATTTCCTCAATCGTCACAAAACGCCGTCCTTTCATGGGTCTCTTCATGAGACATGATTGCATTGTTGTTTTTGGCCAAAAATCACGAAAAAACAATGACAAGTGAGCAGGTGAATTAGTACTTTTTATTGACCTTACAACCATATGGCAAGAACTTCTGATGATCTACGCCACGGAAATCGAAGAAAACAATGAGTAAAATCTTGACATTCATCGAACTTGGCGTGCTTTTTGGCCCTTGGCGCTCCTGGACTCTTACATTGGGACGATTGGACTTTGGCTTTGATGTTATAACCATATACCCATGATTCGTCACCAGTTATGACCTTTTTAAGTAAACATATATCGCCGTTGACGCCAACAATTCCTGAGCGATCTTCATGCGACGGTTTTATTAGTCAAAATTCAGTATGTTTGGAACGAACTCCGCTGCCACACGCTTCATGTCCAAAATATTCGAAAAAATGCATGGCATGTGCCAACGGATATGCTGACATTCTCAGCAACTTCTCTAATAGTGAATTGACTATTCTCCATAACAATTTTCTTCATTTTCTCAACATTTTCATTGGTTGTTAATGTGTTTGGGCGCCCAGGGCAAGCGTCGTCATTCACATCTTCTCGACCTTCTGTGAAAAGTTTGTACCTCAGAGTACAATTACCCTTTGCCACTGTCAACATTTGAAGTGTTTCTGAGTACTTCATTCAATTTTTTACACAAAATTCAAGTGAGACACTGGAAATGTGCCACTGGAAATGTGCCACATTTACAGTGTCTTTGATATTTTTTTTTTCGATGGTAGAAAATCGCCGAACACGCGAAAGACTTATGAGTTTTATGCCTCTTGCCAACAAACTGAACAAACTAAACAGCTGAATCTGTGAACATATATTCGAGACTAGTGTACCAACATGAAAAAATAAAAAAATCGCTAATAGAATGTACGTAGTCCACAAAATTTGAACATTCACCTTATTTTCTGAAAATACCTCCTATATGAACAATACAATACAATGGCAGAAAAAAAAGGAAAAAAATTCAAAATGAATTATTTCTCGATGTTCCGGTTGTGGATACCAATAATCGAAGCTTTTATTTTCAATTTTTTTTATTCTTTCTTTTTTTAAAATGCATTGTGAACTTCATTAATTAAATCTAACCTGATAAGGTTAAGGACAAAGGTAATTATTTAGCTTATTCAACAGTGATTTGAATCAAATCTCAAATAAAGTTTGTGGAGATCAAATCGTAAGGTGTAGTTTATGAAATTACTATGGATCTTCATCAAGTAGCGGCCGAATCAATCAGAAAATAAACGTTCTGTTGTGAATTTTGGTAACGAACATACTAGGTAATTTTTTCACGATAAGCATTTGAATAGAGAGCCAATGAGTGATGAATTTACATCGAAATCAGGGCCGTCGCCACGGGGCGGGGGAGCCTCCCCCCCCTGCTTTTTCGACTTGGTTTTTCTGTTCGCTACGGCCCTGATCAAAATAAAATATTTTCAACGAGACGGTACCCCTCCTCATAATGCAGCAGTGGGAAGGGTACATTCAGATGCTATATTTCCAATAAAATGGATTGGAAACAATGGACCAATAGCCTGGCCAGCTTGATTCGCAGACCCTCACTCCTTCAGATTTTTTGTCTGGTGATATATAAAAGATAAATATTTTACACCTAGTACGAATATCGACCATCTAAAACAAAAAATATTTCTTAAATTCAATATAGTTTGTCATGTAAAATTCATTTGTGTATTGGTTTTATTTTCCCTTAAAAATTCATAATAAAATATATTGCTTTTCTGTTTAATTTTTGTCACTGATGATGCTATAAATTTTAAATAAAACGCTATGAAAATATCAAGTGTGATATATCAATGAATTGTGATTTCATCGCTTTTATATTTGTAATAAGAGGGAAAGGTCTGAATTTGGATGGTAGCCATATTCTATTCTATTCGTAAAAATCCAAAAACAGCATTTTTAGTTTTTCCTATATAACTCAAGATGGGCAAAAGGCCCCGTCAATTTTCTTTTACCATTGTACTGTTACATGATAGTTCCATTTTTTTTTTTATTTAATCGTAAAACAATATTTTTCTTCGGAATCATTAAAAGCTTCAAGTTATTTCATTACTCTTTTTTATTCAAATAACAATTTTATTCATGTAACATTTTAAATCAAGTGTCATTTAAAATAGAACAAATTTTGCGAACAATCGTTTTTAATGTGTCGAACAAATAAAAAGTAAAACGGCGTTCCATACTTGTGGGTAGCTCGCTGTTTATTCCAAAATTAACAAAGTAGCTCAACACATTGAAGAGGTTGGCGACCACTGGTTTAGAATATAACGATGTTATCACATCAGAAAAAAACGACTTGTATATCCATGTCATTCTAATTTCCATAATAATTAAAACTTATCAATTCCTAGGTTCTGTACTTGATGGACAAGGTGCTCTTTATTGGGAGGGCAAAAACGGAAAAAAGACTAAACCTAAATTTTTCAAAATAAAGGTTAAAGAAGGATCAGTGTTCAAGGATATACACTTACTGAATTGCCCTGTTCATTGTGTATCCGTAAGTATGTCCGACCACGTAACCCTATCAGGATGGAACATCGATGTTTCTGCAGGAGACAAGGTAAGTAACATTTTCTGTAAGCACCTATGTAAACTTCGATTATGAATAGAATAGAAATTTATTTATATTTGACAATTCTACAAATATGATACAAAACAGAATTTTCATTAGACTAATCGTGAAATAGGTATAAATATGCATAGGTAAAATACAAAGTTTATATGTACAGACTGAATATGTATGAGAATAAAATAAAACTATATTTCTCAGAAACTTGAAAATTCATCAACAGAGTAAAACTCATTAGCTGAAAGATAATTCAATGAAGCTGTTCATTCTTGAAACTGTATGTTTGGTGCACAAACATAAAACAGACTTTGACTTTATTTCGTCTCCTTATGCTACTCGTAATCGCATTTTTAATATAAGACTTCCTATACCTAACTCAACATTAATCAAGGATTCCGTTTTTTATAATGGTCGAAAATTATTCAATCACTTACCAGTAGATATAAGGTCTCCAAATCTGACCAACGTACAATTCAAGAAAGCAGTTAGAAATTTGCTAGCTGATAGACCCTATTATAGCTTGCAAGAGTATTTTAATAAATCATTTTAAAACCTGTATTCCATTTTATATTTATTTTGATTGTATTTGTACCTGTTTTATTCAAACCTTTATTAATTGCCAGTTTTTATCTATACACCATTAGTTATGCTTATATTTATACCTACAAATATATTTTGATTGATTAATGGTCAGAACGTTGATTATTGGTTTCTGGAATACTCAATCTCTCTCAGGAACTTCGTATGTGGTTCTTGAATTAGGAAAGATTCATTCATACTTCGAAATCGATATCACTTCATTTTTCTTAAGCAATATGATGTGTTTTCATTACTGTTTCACTCCCAATTGAACATCGTGAGAGCCGTAAGTCATCTGGAAATTTTACGATATGGAAAAACCTCAATGGAAGTATTGGAGGTCTATGAATCACCATATCTCAAGTACTTGGGGAAACTGTGGTACATAGAGTAATTATCAGGGCTGTAATGAAATAATAATTTATTTGTACATCATCAAATTACTGAAACTTTCGGGAACATTTCACGATTTAACATATAGACATCACCAATCAAAAACATGCTTGAAAAATACAATCACTTATAATTTCAAAGTTGAGTGTGCCCCAAGTCTGACGACACCCTATAAAAATCAATTATTATATTCTGATAGTAGGACAAAGGTTCCTATGACAAAGTGTAAATATATTTTCAATTATTTATATACGTGTAGGACAGTTCATTACCAAAATTCTGATCCAATTCAACACACACACAATTTAACACTAATGTAGTGAAGCAATTTATCTTAATATTTTTTTCATTTTCATCTAAAAACATATTCTAAAACATTTTTTAATGTTTGTTTGAAGCTATTCGGACTTTCATTGTCTAAAAGAGTATTGAAAGATTTGAAATCCAAGAGAAAAATAAAAAAATGGAATATTAAAGGTATTGAAAATATCGAAAATACTTGGACAGTAATATTCCGATGAGTTATTTGAAAAAAATATATATTTCTTCAAGGTTGACATTCAGAAATAAAAAAAAAATAATAAAGTAATTGTGACCTGAAATAGAAATTAATTAATGAATGAGTTGAACGATGAGTGAAATGATAATACACGAATATTGAGAAATGAAAAATGCAAACAATGAGAAAAATGTTTTGGATGGTTTCCGTATTTTGCCGTGGTCTTCTTTGATTATAATCTCCAAACGTTTCGACTGCAACTGCGGCAGTCATCCTCAGTAGGGTTGTTGAAGTACTCTTCTTGACGTGCCACTGAAGATAACTGCCACAGTTGCAGTCGAAAGGTCTGAAGATTATAACAAAAGAAGACCACGGCAAAACCCGGAAACCATTTTAAACATTGACGCCAGCCGTTAAAGCCTACATTCCTATAATGAGAAAAAAATTCAAAACTGAACTACTTTACGACGTTTAGATTGTTAGTATCCGGAATCGCCTTCGGATGATAACTCAGTCACCTTAAAAAAATTTTATTTCAGCTTTCAAACTTATGAACACTCTTTCAGAAATCGGACATCAGAGCTCCAAACTCTGTCAAAATTTAAGATATTACGGCCCGATTCTGTGATACTTTCTCAATATCTGTAGTTTTGGATCACACTTTTCGGACAGTAAATGAACAAAACTGAGTTTAACAAATCCAGCAACACTATTCTTCCCACATAGGTATTAACTGAGAAAACAAAAATATCGATTTACTGATTCATTGTTTGAATAATTTCCCAGTTTTTGAAGGTGTTTTTTTGTAATACTCCTAATCATTCTAGGATGAGCTAGGACACAATACCGATGGATTCGACATCTCTGAAACTAACAATATACTAATCGAAAACGCAATTGTCCAGAATCAGGACGATTGTGTCGCCGTAAATCAAGGTTTCAACATGACATTCAGGAATTTGGAGTGTATTGGAGGTCACGGACTCAGTCTTTCTGTCGGTATGAGCCACGAGGTGATCAAAAATACGGTGGCTAACGTCACTTTTAGAGACTCGATAGTCAAAAATTCGAGAAACGGTATTCACGTTAAAACTCATACTAACTCTGGAGAAGGACTCATCAGGGACATAACATACAAAAACATTGAGATGACAGGTAAATAACTCGAAGGTTTTATATATGTTATGTCTTAGAATTTAGTAGGTTTCCCTATGTAATTTGGCTTCTTGTGACCAGAAATTGCTACGAGGTAACGATATTCAATTATTGTGGAAAAATGATCCAGGTTTAAGATGATGACGTTTTCATTCCTAAAAATTAAGTTTGCGGTACCATACGGCTCAGTACTCTCTTTTCATTACATAAGTCGATAAGTTGTTTAATCGCAGATACGCATAGAAGACATAGTAGATGAGGCGAAACACAAATCTATTCAAAATTTGTTTCATGATTTGATTCATAGTGAATGAAGATATTTTATCCAATGCATCCCGCGAAGATTTATTGTGGCTAACACGTAATCAAACTCGACCAAATGAATCCAGTTTCTTGACGAAATCGATTACTTTATTTGGCAAGTGATCTTTCAGGTGAGCAGATACAGAGTCGGTGCTCTAGTTCCAGTGCCTAAATTTTTTTGTGAGGAATAACACATTTTAAAGTTGACAGTACATGATACACTTTCCTCTATGTTCTGACCTTCCCAGGTCGCAATGTGCAGCACTTAATTTTCACCTGGCAGTCATAATGAAAAAACTGAAGAGATTCCAGTTTATTGATCAGTATTAAGGTTGTCGGATATTCAAGGTGCAAGATTTACACCTTAATGAACACAGCAACCTTCCCTTATGAGATCATCTTTGAGTCAGCTATATCCGACGATATATTAGATCTAGCCATGTAGGGCTTTTCGCCTCTAATTTTGGGTAAATCATCAGTTGAGCTTCAGCGTTTGCTGACTTGCTCATGAAAAGTTTGTTTCCCCTCCTGATGCAAATTCTGCTTCTCCGGCTGCTGAGTTTTTTGCGAGGCAGTTTCATGACATCCTGCTCTGAAAAAGCGATAAGTCGCTTTCAGGCTGCACCACCTAGGTTTGTTAATAGGATCAAGAGTTGATCTTGCTCTTGATCCGATTATCCGATGCTACAGGGAGGATAGTTGGGGTCGTTTAGTTGATGATCATCTCATTTGTAAACTCAGGATTGAATTATTTACTACTACTACTACTACTACTACTACTACTACTACTACTACTACTACTACTACTACTACTACTACTACTACTACTACTACTACTACTACTACTACTACTACTACTACTACTACTACTACTACTACTACTACTACTACTACTACTACTACTACTACTACTACTACTACCACCACCACCACCACCACTACTACTACTACTACTACCACTACCACTACCACTACTACTACTACCACTTCTACTACTACTACTACTACTACAACTACTACTACTACTACTACTTGATTACTTCATGAGTTTTAAAGGTTAGTCACGGCAGAGACCCTCATTACCGTGACGAGCCTTTCTACGACGAGAACCCGCACTGCTTGCCAAAACCTACATCATATATTGACAGGGTGAATTAGATTTCGAGAAAAAGCTTTTTGACTCTCTTCTTTATACAAAAAATTTGAAAAACTTCCAGAGGAAGAAATAATTAAGTTCAAAATTACCTGTTTACAAAGATGGGTTGATTATGCATAGAGGTTACTTTCAGATACAAACTAGAAGAAAAATCATTCTCAACTACTTTCCCAATATTTGTTATGGAATTGGAACAAATATCAATAATAAGAACGTTACACAATATATGAAAGAGTATTGATATTTAATTTCACTTTCATGGAAAACTATCATCCTCAGTGGTGTACTTCAAAGATTCTAAACAAGAAACTAACCTTAACACTTTGGACAACATTACACGACGAAGCACTCATTTCTTTCATAACATAACTACTTTATGTTCCCGGAAGAGACGAATTTACTCATGTCACAATGACATACATTTCGATTGTTCCATTTAATCCCAGTCATGGGAATCTTGTTTAATCTGAACGAGGTGTGTTTTTCCGAAGGAATTAATTTTTTGTACTTCATTATATTTTCATAAGAACATAGATACTTCACCAGGATATTTTCATAATTATTAAGTAAGAAATAAAAACATGCCTAGGAAAATAGCAAATAAAACTCGGCTTATAACAGATGGAGAGACAGATAGCACTTACTCATATTGATAATATATGTGTCAGATTGGGATTAGGTTAGGTTAGGTCAGGTTGAGTTAGGTTGGGTTAGGTTAGATTAAATTAGGTTGGGTTGGGTGAGGTTAGGTTGGGTTAGGTTATTCTTACATATAATAGTTTAAAAAATTTGCATTAAATACTGCTCTTAATCAATAATTTTTTTTTAAGTATTCAAGAGACCTAATGGTTTCAACACTCATACTTATCTCGCTTTTCCATGATTGATATCTTCTTGGGTTGCTCTGTTTCTATTGTAAGTCCCTTTTGGGGTGTTCACAGTTCTGAAGCAACCATTGAAAGACCAAATGTTTTGACTTATGTAAAAGCTCTTTCAACGAAGATGTTATTGTTTTGAAAAACATGTTTCGCGGTTTTTGTAGACTATCAAAAATATCACAATAGTATTTTTTTAAAACCTAAAAAATATTCATTAGATAATCGTCACTTCCATCACACATTTCAAGAATGCCCCTACGGGTGTTTTAACCCTGAGATCCTACTCTTATTAATAAGTAAAAATATTTGGTTTTTCAATGAGTGCTCCAAAAAACGGGGTACACACTACTAAGGACTAACAACAAAAGCAGGACAGCCATGATGGAACCAATCATGGAAGAGCGATATGTTTTCTTTTATATTTTGAAGTAAAACGAGTGTTACGTTTCTTTTTTCAACTTCAAGTGAAAAGTTCACAATAACATGTTATGTAAATGCGTTGTAATGAATTCTCATGAAAAATCGGCCAGTTCCATCGCATGTTTGATATTTAGTAATTTTTTAGGAATCTGGAGATACGGAGTAAATGTAGAACAAGACTACAAGAACGGAAAATCCACTGGAAATGCAACAAATAACATCCCTATCAGGGGACTAACATTGACTAACGTTAACGGACAGTTAACAGGACCAGAGTCAGTACCGGTTTACATACTTTGTGGATCTGAAGGATGTGAAAACTTCGAATGGTCCGAAGTTTCGTTCCGTGGTGCTTCAAATCCAAGTTCTTGTAATTATGAACCTCGCGGTTTTCATTGCCCAAAATAATTAAGTTTCTAATAAATATTGAATAAAAGTTACATTGACTGTTTTATTTTTCACTGGATTTTATGAATTTTATTACCAAGATAGCTCTGGCTCGGATAAGTTGAAAATTGGTGAACATTAGTTTTTCTTTCAACCATCAGGACTTCAAAAGATCAGTTGTCACACCTATTCATAAAAAAATTATCAAAAAAACTATCGAATTACACACCAATTTAATTAATTGCGTCGTTTGCCAAATGTTTTGAGAAAGGTTCAAATGCAAGACTTTCTGAGTCAGGGGTCGGCAAGTAGTTTTAGGTTGGGTCCGGATACTGTGGGAAAATTTTGATGAAGTCCAGAAAAAACAACTGATAAAAATTAAGTTCTACCTATGTATTATTTTGGTTTCAAATCAAATTCTGAATTATAAATCACAAGACCTAAAATTGATGTGAGAAATTACATTGACGGTCTTGAGCCAGTTTTTTATGGTTTGTTTCTCGAGAGGAACAACAAATTCGAAATGTGTCTTCTAGGTGAGCGTTCGTTAATCTCGAACGATATTTGTTTTTCAAAAAATTCATCTTTGATGATGATGATGTTTCACATACGTATGTCGATCCAAACTTAGTGGCCAAGTTTATAGCTATGGCGATTTAAGAAACGAATAGCTGGCCTATCTCTGCAAATTCTTGGAATATTGTAGCAAATTCGTTCCTAAGATCGGCGAGAAATTTTACAAACACTGCAATGTCTTCTTCAGGGTTCTTTTTATGTTCAAGAATTGTCGAAAAATGAATAAATTCTTGTCTTGCAACGTCTTTTTCAAAGATATCCAGCTTGCAACAAAAAGCAGACACGCTTTGTATCAGATCACATAATAATTTTCTATTTCCTTGTATTTCTGTGTTGAGCGCATATTACGCTTGTTTGTTGTGAAATCAAAGTGTTTTCTGCCTCCTTCTGTATCTAAATTTTGCAAGAAGAAGGTTACTTTTTTTATCAGCCGGAAACGTTCAATAACTTGACCTTTACTCAGCCAACGAACATGGTTGTGTCAAAATACGCTGAATCACATTCGAAAGAAACTACTAGAAATGTCGGTGCTGAAGAGCAGCAGAATGAGATCTCAAAAAATTATTCAACGTGACCAAGATGTTCATCACTTCTTTCACTGTAGCACTAAGTGTTATCCCCGATTTTCTTTACTACACCCTTTTCTCTGCCAATCATTGCTGGGCACCCGTCGGTTGAAAGCGACACCATTTTATATCATTTTATATCAGTACCTCTAGTGTTACCTTTCAACGGCGATATTGCTAGCAACTCTTTCCTAAAAATCTGACACTAAATATCAAGAAAACTTACGAAAATAGATATTTGTTCATCATCAACGATGTCACATGATTCATCAAGTGTTATGGCGTAGCAAGGTGCCTTTTGCAAGAGTTCAAGAAGAATGTTTTTAATATCAGTAGCTGAAATTTTCGTTTTTCGTGTATTACTTCTCGCTGATAATGCAATACTTTGAAATGCAGCGACATTTTTTTTTCTTCAAAAAGTGCCGAGACTACTTCCAACATACATTCCTTTACCATCTCAGAATCTGAAAATGATTTCTGGTGTTTATTGAGCGTCCAGCACACATGTAACGCTGCTTCTGTGGATTTTTCTTGTTCGCTCTTGCAAAAACTAATAATTTCGTGTTTTTTTTTGTAAGAACTGAGATATACATGAACTTTTTCTTTACTAGCCTCACTGTCAAGAGGAAAGTTTTTGTGAAATTGCTGATGAGTTGTTTTGTAGTGTTGCTTCAAATTGCCACTCTAAACAATAACGACAGTTTTATTGCATATAAGGCACACTGGAACCACTTGAGGCCTATCAGGCAGCGTAAAACAATATTGTTCATTCCATTCCGCCAGAAACCTCCTATTTTAACTGTCCACTTTACGCTTTTTAGGATCCATATTAGCATATGTACGAAAATATTATGAAAACGTGAAAAATCACAAAACAAATGAATGGTTGTTCCGCAATTTGCCCTGCAACTGGCAGTCTGCTTTACCCCGCTCACACTCTCACACCCCCGATTTCGATACTCGCTCGTACTTGTTTCAACAAAACAAAACAGTCGCAAGAGCGCACAAACACACACATGGGGTAGCTGGAAACCTAATAAAACCATATTAGTTGTAGGTACTTGCAAAACAGATTGACTAGGCAACTTGAAATAAAATAAGTACATACTAAGTTGATTTCTGTGTGGCTTAAAAAAATGAAGGTATAGTATACCTTATCTACGTATTAATTTATACTTGGTATATAACACATTACAATATTTGGCGGTCCAAGGTTCGACCTTTCGCGATCCGCTAACGCAGTGCGGTCCGCCTGTTGCCCACCGTTGTTCTAAGTACTTGACAAGATGTAATGTACTGTTACGTTTGACTACACTGAACAATGATCAAACTTAACTTTATTTTACTTTAAATAGGACAAACGCTTCAACTAAAACTTCAACTATTATTCGAATATCTATCGCCTTATTAAATCGCTCCGCGTACCGCACTGTAACTTCCACTTGATAGTCTCGATGGGCGAGTGGATGGTGCTTATATTGGGCAATCGAAAACGTTGGAAAATTCCTCGGAATTCCATCGAAGCCGGTAGCATTATTCTCGCTACATCTAGTACCTGAGCGAACATCGAATATTCGCGCGTTCTTAGCTACGTCACAATTGGTCGCCGGCGCCGACCGGCGTTATTTTCTTTTGGGCACCCCCTTCCCTGACGTTGTTCGCCCCGAATAAAATTCCAAGAGGGGACATCACGACCCATGTAAGGAATCAGTCTCTCTTCGTGGACAACGTTAGGTTTGCTTCTGGGTGACAATTGTATTCTGTACACCAGATCGTTTATCTTTATGGTTACCAAGGATCTTGCCATGGTCTCTGCAATTTGGGCTACAAACCTTTCCGATATGAAATAAAATAAAAATAAAATAAGAAAAAAATTATGTTAAACGGTTTTATTGAAAAAAAAGAAGATAATAATGATGTAACGTATTCAAAAAACACTTTATTGTGAGATTTTTAATAAACTGTTTTACAAAAATGCAACACGTATTTTGCCATAGGTACAATGGCTTCTTCGGGCATGTCTTTACTAACTATATTCTACATATTCAATACTCAATATAACTGAAATAGGTATATTGATATAACTAATATACCTAAATTAGGTATATTAAGCATTGAATATGAAAAATATAGTTAGTAAAGACACGCCCGAAGAAGCAAATGTATGGCGAAACAAGTGTTGCGTTTTTGTAAAACTGCTTGTGAAAATCAATAAAGTGTTCTTTTGAATACGTTAGTTATGTATTTTCATCAAGTATCGGCCAATTTCATTATATATACATAATAATTATGTGGATAATGTACTGAAAAGTAAAAAGTGATAAAATCGTTGGGTGTAGTATTTACATATTTACTTAGATTACGCTCAGGAATCTAGAACGATCGTTACCGATATAAAAGGTTGGCTCCTCGTTCAGAGAGGGAGTCTGTATTCAGAAAGCGAATCGAGCGGTTAACAAAGAATTCGAACAGTGAAGATAAATTAAGCGTTAGTTGCTAAGTGTTGTATATACATTAGTTGTGATAGTGAAATATTGTTAAAAATAAATTTGTTTGAGACAGTCAATTCTTTAATTTGTTACAATTGGTGATCTGAAGTGGATTTGTAAAATAAATCTGTGAGCGCGTGGTGGAAAATCCTTGTATTACGGTGAAATTTACTAGACTGGTGATTCGTTGTGTGGACAGTACCGGACTACGGAAACATAATCTGATAGACCTTTCTCGCGAAAAATAGACTTGTGAAAATAAATAAGTGTTTAGGACTCGATTAAAATAAGTAGACATATTCAGTTTTGTGAAAAATAGACAGTAAGAAACAAAATGTGTTCAAGGAAAGTGCGCCTAGTGGACTTGAAAGTTGCTGAGCTGTAACAAGAATTGGAGGAGAGAGAGTTAGATTGTTCTGGAAAGAAATCAGTACTCCAGAAGAGCGTGGGATAACTCGATTGAATCAGGAGAAGATCCCGAAATATATTTATTCGAAGTTTCTGAGTGTGATTTGAGTTTAATAATGAGAAAACTTGATGGACTTCAACAAAATTCGGTAAGCCTTGAAGGTAAGCTTCTGGAAAATGCGAAAAGCATGGAAGACAAATTTCTAGAAAATTCGAAGAGTTTAAAAGATGAACTTCATTAAAATTCGAAGTGCCTGGAGGAGAACCTTCTAGAAAATGTAGAAGGCTAAAAAAAAACTTTGTGGTGTGGCGAGTCTACTCGAAGAGAGGATAATATCCATCGAGACAAAGATAGATAAAATCAGGAAGGGAATGAACACAAAAGTAGAAGAAATCAATTGCGGAGTTCAGGCAGAAATCAGCAAGATAAAGGAAACAATTAGCAAGTTGCAAAATCAAATCGTTGATTCTGCCCACCCCACAGAAACGGTTACCGAAAACTCAATTCCGGAACTGAAAGATGTCGAAGTTATTTCTGAACCAGGAAAGCTCTCCATGAAGCCGCCCCAGTTCGACGGATAAACTCCTTGGGTAAATTACCGCCGACAATTTGAAGCTGCGGCCAGAGCGAATGGATGGAATGCAGGAGAAACGGCGGTAGCATTAACATTGGCGTTGCGTCGAAAAGCCACGAATATTCTGCAAACCCTCACGGCCCAGGAATAGGAAGACTATGACCAACTTGTAAAGCATCTTGAGCTGCGGTATGGACAGGCCCACCTAGAGCACGTTTACCATTCACAGCTGAAGAACCGGTGCCAAAAATCAGGAGAATCCCTACAGGAATTTGAAGCCGATATTGCTCGATTGGTTCGTCTGGCATATCCCGCTACACCGGAAATTGTAATGGAGCGGTTAGCAGTTCAGACATTCTTGGACGGACTTCGCGACCAAGAAATGAGGCAGGTCTTGACACTAGCTCGTCCCAAACATTTGGTGGATGCACTGGCAAGAGC